ATGTCAGTGCGACCGTACAGTTATGGCTCGTGGTGAAGCGTCGGTAATTCCTTTTCTTCACTCTTTTTCCCCGCTTTTTTTTTTCCTCTCCTTTCGTACATGAAATTAATTTCTACACGACGACGGTAGATCCTGCGAGCGGGGACGAACGTCCGTCCGTTCTGCCCGAGATTGACGTGCTCGTCTGTCGTAACGCACCGTCGCAACGTAATTCGCGGATTTCTGTAAATCCACCAGTTGAACGGCCGATGCCGCTCGATTCGTTCCGTCCTGCTGGATAATATGGCAATCGTAAGAGCTGCTGTGTTCCAAATTCACGCGGAGAATCAACTCCAATTCTCACTTCTACGGAGAAAAATATGGTTCAAGAACCGTTTTTTCTTCTTTTCAAATTTCCTCAGAAAGAAATCGAACGAATCCGTGTGAAATGTGAAAAATCCGAGATTTATCGTAGAGTTTTTCGTTCAATCGAGTAAGACGAAGCTGAAAAGTCGGTGCATTCGACATCCTCCATCCGCGGATAAAATTAGTCGATTAGAAATTCCGGACAGAAGTTTTCGGCCGGAGCAACAGGCGCAGCCAAGACGCGCGTGGTTCACGCGGTGGCGGTGTACACGCGATGAAGTAAATATCTATCGCGATTTATCAAGTCAAAGAGAAAGTTTTGTGATATCGCAATGCCATCAATGATCCGTGGTGGCGCAAGGAGAGGTGGGGACCGCCGCTCGGCCTTTCACCCTGCCGAATATTCGGTAAAGCGGTTTCAGGTGTTTCAGCGCCTCTCTCGAAAAAAAATCGCGCGCGCTCGATCCGCCGTCGACCTCCGCTCGTAATCTCACGATTTATCCCCGTCGACGTGATACCCGTGCACCTGCGGTAGCGGCGGTGCTGGCAATCCTGGAATTAAGAGGAGCGCTTCAGGAAACGCGAAATCTCAGACTTTCAATTACTCCGTACGCCGGAGCCGCGTTTCCTCCAATTACACCTGAAAACCGGCCCGCAATTTGTCCGTGATAATCGTGTATCCCGGCCGATCGGTGGAATTAAGTGGAATTATTTGCGTACCTCTCGGGCGAACGCGTGGATGTTAAATTCAACGCGCCCGACGGTGCCCGATCACCTGTCCGACGAGAATTATTATCAGCTGTGCAAATTAATCCGGTGCCTTCGCACTTATGTACTGTAACTCCGGCTCGAATTCAGATTCTTTTCCCGTCCTGCGTAGTGATTTGAAAGCGCCAACCTTAAGCTTGAAAAGCGCTGTAATAGTTGACGGCTTAGCCGGTGAAACCGTGACTTCAGGAAACGGTGATTATCGCGATGTTGTTCGAAAAGAAACATCCGGGGCACCTTTTCGCACTCCAGTTGAATAAAATGCCGCTCGGTCTACCGGAATGATTTGTTCCGCTTAGGGCGAAGGTGCTGTGACCCGTGAAACGTTGTGGCAAGATCCTTCATCGGCGATGGAATTAGGTGGGTGATTCTGTTGCGCGATAACGCGTCCACGTACTGCAGAAAGGGCGAAGGATCTCATCTATATATTCCGACTTTATCGAGTCGAAACCGCCGGGTATTCTCCGCGAGGACATTCGTCAGCCGTCCGACAGATGGAGTAATGTCGTGGGAAATAATGGAAATTATTTCGAACATTAAACTTGCGCCCCGACCTTCTGTAAATAAGCTTTGCGATCTCACGAAGGGCACCGAATTAATTTGCACATAATATAGTATTGTCGCGCCGGTGTCGTTCCGACGCGGATTAGGCATTGCCGCTCGTCGGACATATCGATCGCGCGTACCGTCGACTTGTGCGTACGTATATGTGTGTGTGTGTGTGTGTGTCTACCAATGTCTACCAATGTTACACTTGAAACGCCGCGACGTTAATGCGCGATCAAACGTGAAACCGGCGTCTGTTTTGACAGAGAGAAAGCACGGTGTACTTAATGCGCGCCATGCGTGGAACTCCCGTTCGAAATAAGAATACGCGGGTTGTATAACACCACGAAGGCCCTTCAGATGTTTGCCCGCGATAAATAATGTCACAACACCACAACACACGCGCTGAACAAACCGACGTGATAACCCAGAAATTCTACCGAAGTGCTGCCGGTGCACGCTTCTGTGAACGAACCGCGCTCGATCCGTAATCGAGCACATTTTTCCCGGGTTTCGGCGTGAAAAAGAGAGAGAGAAAAAAACACTCGCCCGCGCGTGTCGCGTCATTTTACTCGTTCGCGACTCGAGCGTACGTTGCGCGCATACCGGGAATGATTCCGAACGTTTTGAAATAAGTCTCGAGATGTGGCACACAACGGCGCCCGACATTTCCCGGGGGAACGAGAGAACTTCTCCCCGCGGTAAAAGTAATCTCACGATCACGTCGAGACCGCTGAATATCCTCGAAACCGATGGGTGCGAGAGGAATGTCAAGTGTACGTCGTAAAGGCGAGGAAAGGAGATCGAGGGCGACAATAGCCACGAATGGCTGTATGAGACAAAGGTGTTGTGACACCGCTCGGATTTAACGTTGTCGGAATGAAACAAGGCTTCGTAATTAGAAAGAGTAACGTCGCGCACGCGAGATCAGCCTGACTATTGGAAATAGTCACCTTGGGACCGTTTACAATAGTCGGTCGGTAAATCGGTTTTCTCAAGAATCTTTTTTCGAATTTTAACAATATATTTAATCGTAACATCATCCATACGCACACGGAGAGAACACGGCGCCTTTGATCTGGTACTTCTGCTGATCTGACTGAAATTTGTTTTCATAGAAGCGACATTTACGAGGTATTATTCGTTTGAATAAATATTTTATTGTTTCGTGCGAGAAAACCCGGTTATTTGACGGAAGGAACGCTATTATTCGAGACAGTATCTTTGAGCCGAAACAAATATCATTTGGTCCACGATAAGTGTGTGAAATGAAGCGAATAATTTCTTAACAGGACAATTATCTCTCGTTTGAAAGCAATGTTTTATTCAAGACGATGATACACATTCGTTGGAAAGTCACGATCGTACTTATCAGTCGGGACGTTAGTTCCCTCGGAGCGTGATGATGAAATTCGCCCGGACGCGAATAAAATCCACCAAACCCGAAGAAATCCTTTCTCTCGGTGTACACAACGGGATAAAGTGCAACGAATGTAAATGAATACCTCGCGAAAATCTCTCATGCTCGAGGGAACGAAATTTGAGCTTGACTCGCCGAGGGTTCGCCGGGGGCAGGATCAGCGATCTCCTTGCCGTGTTCTTCCGGCGAGAGAAGAAGAGTCACCTCGGAAAGATCTCTCTCGTCAACAGACTCGACGGTTCCGCCGGGACACCGTGTATACGGACACACGTGGCCGGTTCGCCGTTGTGAGAGCCCACGCGGATCGAGATCCCGTCATCCACGAACCGAGGCATAATCTCGTCGCACCGCAGGCTTTACGCTTCGTAACAATGCTCCGACTTTCTCCGTCACTTTCATTTTCGTTGGTCGGCTGCTCGACTCTCTCTCTCTCTCTCTCTCTTGCTTAGATTAAGAAATAGTGCGTGCCCCTCCGCCGTGCCCTGAGCATGAACCGGCTGCCGGTGCCTCCTAAGCGTCACGCCGCGCTGAGCTTACCGGGTCCTTGGTCCACCTCCCCTGCCTGCTTGGCAGCCGCGAATTTAGAAAGGGTCTCATTCCTCCCCCTTCGCTCCTCCTGCGTATCGGCACCTCCGCGCTGCACCTCGTGGAGAGCGAGACGCCCGCCCAACGCGCCCTTTTCCCACTTCGCCTTCTCTCGTACCTCCGGACATCGCGCGTCCGAAAAGAAGGTCCCTCGCCGCACAGATCTCGGTATTTCCAGGTATTTGCCAAGGTATTCGAAGTAACTGTCAAGGTGTCTCACAGTGATGAGGAATTTTCGTCACGTTGCAGGGTCAAATTAAAGAAATTATAATTGCGCAACGCTGGTCAATATCGTTGCAAGCGCGCTCAAAACATGGGTCTATCTCCGTTCTTTCATAGCGATATTAAGTATCTCGGGACCGTTGAAGGACGCCCGATAACTTAACATTTAAAAAGAATTCTAATGTTTCCGACGGAATGAGAAACATGGCGAAATGAAAAAATTATAGCAAAAGTATATCCCGTCGTTTTATATTCATCACCGCGTACTGTTAATTTTCCCAAAATTAAAATATAGCCTGTATTCCTCGAACTATGGCTAAGTACTTTTTTCCTTTATTGCCATTTTATGTTCAACGCGTAAACGAAAGTAGAAAAAAATTAACACTCCAAGAAGATACCAACTTGTGATACGAGATTTGCCGACCGGTGTAATCAGGAGAGGGAGTCTCTCGCCGACGAGCGTGGACGAAGGGACGAAGACGGGAGGGCGCGCATCATCGCAGGCGATTGGTATTTTTTTAACACGTATATTTCACTTTCCGTTGAAAAATAATGCCGTAAATCGTCGTAGGAAATAATAGAATCTGCACAAATCAACTCTCTCTCTCTCTCTCTCTCTCTCTTTCTCCCTCTCGGCGCACCGCTGTTAATCGCTAGAGGTATTTACAATGAGTGGAACTGTCGTCCGAGGGGGGGGGGGGGGGGGATTT